TAATACCCCCACAAATCCTCACCCACGTCCCCATTACCTCCAATATAGGTGAGATATAGATCTAAAAAATAACAGTTCAAAATATTTACATGAAGCCAAATAATTAGAGAAGATGGTTTAAAAATTGTCAAATGACTTCTTTTGAAATGCAAATAAGTTGTTTAGTTATGAGTGTTCCAAAAACTTTCTCTATTTTTTCTTAATTATATTTAAACATAATAATAAAAATTCAATATTATTTTAAATAAATAGTAATAAAAATTCGGTATTACTTCTCCTATATATAATAAGAGAAGTAAAAAGTGCACATGTCAGCACCATAAAAATTCAACAATTTTAAAATTAAAAATGTAAAATTTAAAAATCTTTTAAATCTGTAGCTTAAATTAACCAAAAATAAATTTTAAAAAATCAACCAACTAAATAATTCTATGTTTCTAAATAATTTAAAAATCTTATGAACATGATTCTTAAATTAACCAAAAAAATTAAAATTAAAAAAAGTAACTAACTAAATAATTCTATGTTTCTAAATAATTTAAAAATCGTCTGAACATGATTTTTAAATTAATAAAAAAAGAAGAAGTAACTAACTAAATAATTCTATGTTTCTAAATAATTTAAAAATCGTCTGAACATGATTTTTAAATTAACCAAAAAGAAATAAAAAAAGATTAATAAACTAAATAATTTATGTTTCTTTTTTTTCTACCTAGTTTAATTTGAATTTTAAAATTTCCTCTTTAGTAATACAATTTAAATGTAAAAGGCAAATTGTTAAATAATATGATGATAATAAGAATAATAATAATAATAATGATAATAATAATAATAATGATCATAATAATAATAATAATAATAATATGTATTTTAAAATTTTAAAATGGATAAATGAAAAGTCACAAAAAGAGGATATAACTAAAATTAAATCACGTTTATTTACATCAGGAAATTTTTTATCCAAAAAAATAAATTCATTTGTGTATAATTCAAAGGATAGGAAAATGCATTTTCCTTTTGATTTTGAAGGATGTAGAATTTTAAGCTAATTTCAAATTACAATATATAATCAATAAAATTATAAATACATTTCACAAAACTAAATAGCGTTGTATACAAAACTAATTTTGAGGAAAATTTCCAAAGTGAGGATTCATTTCACACTTCTTCCTTCACTTCCATCATCTCTCTCAATCTCGACTATAGGCTTCAGATTTTTTGGGATTGTGAAGAACAACACCGTCCGGGATCTCAAAACGAGGACGATGAGGTTCCGCCGGGTCTGTCGGTGGCGGCGACGGTGAACTACGCCGATAACACTGGTGCTAAGAACCTGTATATCATTTATGTGAAAGGGGATCAAGGGAAGGCTTAACAGGTTGCCTTCAGCTTGTGTTGGAGATATGGTAATGGCTACTGTGAAGAAGGGTAAGCTAGATCTCAGGAAGAAGGTTATGCCTACTGTCATTGTTCGTTAGCGCAAGCCATGGAGTCGAAAGGACAGTGTCTTCATGTACTTTGAAGATAATGCTGGTGTGATTGTGAACCCCAAGGGAGAAATGAAAGGGTTTGCGATGACTGGCCCAATTGGTAAAGAATGAATTGATCCAAAGCACTCGCGTTCACTCTAAAACCCTCAAATGTGACGGTACACATTTCGATCCATTTTAAACCTAATTTATTAGTGAGAAAATCAGTTGAATTTGATTGATAGTAGTTTGATTTGTAGATTATATATGCAATTCTAGTGAAATTAATTTTTTAGTTTCAGCAAAAATAATGTTGAATTTTGTATTAATTGGATTTTTCAGTGAAAATAGTGGGATTTTATAGATTATATGCAGTTTGTGGCGAAATTGTGTAATTTTAGCAGAACAATTTAACTTTGTATCTTTTATGCAATTTCTGAGTGAAAGCTTATAGTTTGAGTGGAAGTAAGTGGATTTTATGTAGTCTTAGAGCAACTTTATAGTTTGAGTTGTAGTGATCGGATTTTATAGATTTTTTCCAGCTTCTAAGTGAAAGTTTATAGTTTAAGTTGAAATAATTGGCTTAAAAATAAAACTTTCATTTTAAGTTTATTAAAGTAAAAGTTTATTAATTTTTCCCTCTAATTTTTCATGCTATTAACTTTTCCCTCTAATTTTTCTACTACAATAAAATATTCCCTCCTATTAGTAATAAGAAACTTTTTTTAAAAAAAAAAACCTACTCCTGCCTAAAGTCTAGAGTTATTTGTATAGCGCCTCAGGCCCTCAACACATTGCTCAAGCAAAGAAATTCATGGTAGCCATCTCCATCCACAGGTAATCCTAAGGTTTTTATTTCATACAAGCTCATGATCTTACTGAAACAAAGCTTTGATCACATAGTCACTGGTAGGATTTTGGGGTCAAGTTCTATTAACTAATTGAAAAAGTATTGACTTTCGGAACCATGTGAAGTTTTCAAGGTTTCACAATTTAGTTCTTAATTTATATTTTCTTATAGGTTTTACTGGATTCATCTCATCCTACAAATATTTTGATTCCAGGTATTCAAACAATTGTGACGATTTATGATTTTATTAAATCACTTTGGGCTCAGCAGAGGTTACTAGCGTGTCTCTCTGAGAGGATACTAGCGTCACCTCTCTCAGAGTGGATACTGGCGTCGTCTCTCTTAGCATTTGAATCTGTGAACGAATTTGTGAACGAGGTACTGTAATTTCTCCTTCCTCTGTAGGGTTTTAATCTCAATAATTTTGAGTGCGTAGGGTTTTAGTTTCAATTTTCATTGAGTTACTGTACTGTGAACGAATCTGTGAACAATTTACTGTAATTTTGTTCTTTTCTAGTTTTAGCATGCTCATAATCGATTGTTTTCTGCTTATGTTCAAATCGTAGGGTAACACTTTCAGTTTGGGGGATATTCTAAAGAAGAAGAAGATAAAAAGACAGAGAGTTTCCGCTTAACTAATAAAAGTTAGCAGAAATTTTATGTTTAGGAATTTTATATGATGGTTTTTATCTTTTGAACTTTGCTCTTTTTGTAGAGAAAAAAAACAACAATTAAATTGATCTGCATTGTTGAGTTTGTGGTTTAAAGAGTGACTCTAAACTTGTGGCTTTGTTTCTTAAGAAATCATCACCAATGCTACCTAGAAATCATATATAACCATGTTTATGAAGCCTTACAAGACCTCATCGATGCCTTAAATTTCAACCAAGACTCTTTATTAGCACTAATAGTAATACAAACGTACTGGTTAAATTTTTGGATGCTCTACCATAAGCAGCCTTTGCATATTTGCTAGTTGAGAAAGTTGTAAGACTTGATCTTGTTATTGGAGAAGTAATAGATATGGAAAAGATAGCTCATTTAAAGGATATAGTCATGGTGATGTGGTTATTAATGTAATGGTTCTTAATGAGCTCCCCTCCTCCTAAACAAAGCAAATTGACTACTACAGTTGATGGATGCACTGGAAAATTGTTAATAGATGCACCTTTTCTATTTGTTAATCGATTGTTTGCTGCTATAATTGGCTTGTTTGATTCGATTTGGGAACTCATGTGATTGATTATTCCTCCCTTGATTGAGCATGACTTTCCTTAGAATCAATGGAGGGATGAAAAGCAAAGAAAGAAAAGCCACTGGAGTTCAGAAACTGCTCTTCTTGACTCCTCTCTTTCCAAATTATTTTTAAAGCTTTCATGTTTTTTTTTTGGTTCTTGTTGTGATCTTGATGGCTACCGTTAGTATCAACATGTAAAGGGTTAATGAAGTTAACAATATCAGAAAAAGAACTACTGACTTGTCGAGCATGTGTTTAATCTTTATTGCTCGTCTTACTTCTGCGTTAATATTATTTTGTTTTTCTTTAGTTCTCTGTCCAAATTAATAGCTATAGTGCTTTTTGTTAAATGCCGAAAAATCTGTTTCTTGTTGATATCGCGGATTTAGACTCAGTGTTCTAAAACTCGACGTTGTAGATATTTTTGGTACCATTTAGAGTATGCTTCCTTTTTAGTTTGTATACTCTTCATGTATTCAGTTTTGAATAGGTCCTTGAATTAGCTTGGTGTCGAATTGTTTCTATGTTGTTTTCCATTTGCTGCTATGTGTGCTAGAGACATGCTTTAAGAATGGTTATATTTTCTTAATGGTATCCGAAGAGTTAGATATAAGGATTCCATTAAGCTAATGGTTATCTTTCCTAAGGGGTTTGCATTGCCTTCATTGTCTTCTTGAAATGCGCTTTACGATATACGTTGGTAGTTGCAGTTCCAGCTGCACAACCTCCCTTTGTCTTGAATTGCTTGCTGCTGTAGATGTTTTCCCACCTATAGCTTGGCCTATGTTATTCCAGTCGGTGCCTTGTCTTCATGATGATTTTTGCCTGTACCTGGACTATTGGACTGATCTGGTTCAACAAGATCAATACAAGAGTTGTGAGTAATAATAGTTTTACTTGTATGACTGTGACTTTTCTAGGAATCTGCCTGATTCATTTGTTCTTGAGGTGTCTTAGGTCTCTCCTCATTGTTTGTACTGTTTTTGTTATTCTTCTTTTTTGAGTTTGCCACTATTCTTCCTGCTGATTTGGCTCTTCTTCTTGGTAATGCATATGCAATAAATAACAAAAGTAGAATTATTATCTTGGAATATTACAGTGCTTAGGCTGCCATATAAAGTTCTGTAACCATTATCAGGCCTTCCATTTTGATAAGAATCAAATGACTCATCAATAAAAGGACAAGAACCAGGTTCATACATAGGGTTAGCATCATCTTTCACCCACATTCCATCAAAACATCACAATGACTCATCACTTCCCACCAAGCCTCTTTCTTTGTCTCTATTTTTCTCTAAATTCGACCATAAATTCACCTTTTGTCTCTCTTCCTCTTCTCTTTTACTAGTTGATTTACTTGAGGTGAGCATATTACCTCAAGTACTGATAATTTCACATGACTAGCCTTCATACATTATATTGATTTGTTGAAATTTAACTATTGATTTGCAATTTGAAGATTACAAAGAAAGCAACTGTAGTGGAAGAACATTGATATCAATTTCAGGACTCTTTGTGTGGACTTTGCAAGTTAGTATGTGTTTTGTTGTTTTCTTTAATAGTATGGAGGTATTAGTCTTTAATAGTATGAGGGTATAATTCTTGTTTGCTATATGTATAGGTTATATACTTAGTGGATAAAAGTTGGATAAATATATAGAATAGGCTTGATCCTTTATATGAGAATGGAGCCAAAGAGTTTCTTCATTTTGCATCATTAGATAGGCCAGATGCATCTGCAATATTGTGTCCATGTCGAAAGTGTCGTAATATGAAATTTGTTCGAAAAGATTTGATTGTTGAACATATTGTGGTTGATGGATTTCTAACTAGTTACACTAGTTGGATTTATCATGGTGAGGAGCTATTTTCATCAAAATTGGTCAATAAGTTAGATAAAGGTGATGATCATGAGATGCAAGACATGTTACATGAAGCATTTGGAATTCCTCCTACTAATTTTGTTGATATGGACACTAGTGCTGAAGGATTTAATGGGTCAAATCAACATAACATGGGTTTTGATAAGAAGACTGAATAATTCTTTCACTTACTGAAAGATGCTAAATGTGAGTTATATCCTAGAAGCAAGTAGTCACTACTTGCGTTCCTTGTTCGTCTATTATACTTAAAATGTCTCAATGGATGGAGTAACAAATTATTTTCCATGTTATTAGAGTTGTTAAAAGATGTGCTTCCAGAAGGTGAAACATTGCCCAAGTCCTTTTATGATTCAAAGAAGATTATTAAAGATTTAGGACTTGAATATAAAAAGATACATGCATGTCCAAATGATTGTATGATTTATTGGAATGAGACGAAAGATAGAACGTCTTGTAAGTTTTGCAAAGCTCCAAGATACAAACAGTTCAAAGGTGCATCAGTTAATTCCAATTCAGAAACATCAAAAATTCCATCAAAGGTGTTTAGATATTTTCCATTAATACCACGACTTCAAAGACTATTTATGTCGGCTAAAACATCTACTTAAATGAGATGGCATGCTGAAGGTCGCACTAGAGATGGGGTAATGCGACATCCTGCATACAATATTACTTTGAGGAAATTTGATGAAGCGCATACAGATTTTGCTCGAGATCCTCGAAATGTTAGACTTGGATTGGCTTCCGATGGCTTTAGTCCATTTAAGTCTATGTCTATCTCACATAGCACATGGCCTGTTATCTTGATTCCATATAATTTGCCAACATGGTTGTGCATGAAACAACCATATATGATATTATCAACTATTATTGATGGTCCTCGTGCACCAGGTAATGATATTGATGTCTATCTACAACCCTTAGTTGATGAGTTACAAGAATTGTGGGTTGGTGTTGCCACTTATGATGCATCAAACAATCACATGTTTCAAATGTGTGCAACATTGCTTTGGATATTTAGTGATTTTCCAGCGTTAGGTAACTTATCAGGATATGGTGTGAAAACTAGATATGCTTGTCCATGTTGTCTTACCAAAACTAAATCTACAAGATTGAAAAATGGGCGAAAATATTGTTTCATGTCTCATAGTAGGCGATGGTTATCTCATGGACACAAGTTTCGAAAAGATAAAGTTGCATTCAATGGCCTTGTGGAGTTAGATGGAGCACCTAAACAGTTGACGGGACTTGAGATTCTTAAGCAATTGAATAATATTAAAAATAAATTTGGTGAAGATCTATTGGCCAAATCTCGTAAAAGGAAATGGGATGATGTTGATAATTTGGTGCAAAATATATAGAACAAAAATAGCATATTTTTTAAGTTGGAATATTGGAAAGACAATATGATTTGTCATAATCTTGATACAATGTATATTGAAAAGAATGTCTTTGACAATATATTTTGGACATTATTATTTGTTGATGGAAAAGGAAAAGATAATTTAAATTCCCGTTTAGATTTACAAGAGATGGGGATCCGAAAAGCTTTGCATCCTAAGAAAAAGGCTAATGGAAAATATTATCTTCCTCCTGCATGTTTCACATTGAGTAACACACAGAAAGACATCCTCTTACAAGTGATAAAAGATGTGAAGTGCCAGACGGATATGCTTCAAATATCTCAAGTTGTGTTGATCTCAAGCGACACACAATGCATGGGTTGAAGAGTCATGGCTGCCATATTTTAATGCAACAACTCCTTCCTATTGCCTTGCGGAATCTCCAGCCAGTGAATGTACTTAAGCCATTGATTGAATTAAGTAATTTCTTTAGGGGCATTTGTTCAAAAGATCTGAAGATAGGTCACATAGAAAAACTCCAAGATCGAGTTGCAATAACTCTATGTCATTTGGAGAGAATATTTCCTCTATCTTTCTTTGATATCATGGAACATCTACTTATCCATTTAGCTGAAGAAATAATGTTGGGAGGACCTTCAAAATATCGCTCAATGTGGTTTATCGAACGATATCATTTTGTTATTTTTTTATCATACTTACAAGAAATTGTATTTGTATTCTAAAAATTGTCAATTTTAGGTTCTTGCTTTATCTTAAAAACTACGTAAGGAATAGACGTTATCCAGAAGGTGCGATTGTAGAAGGACGTTGGATAGACGAGTTAATGACCTTTTGCTCATGGTATTTAGATGACGTCGAGACTAAGTCTAATCCACCTTTAAGAAATGATGTTTTATCTAATGAAACAATAGACCAAGAGGGTCGTCGATCAAGTAGAGAGAAAGGATTTAAGCTTGATGACATTACATGTGCTCAAGCCCACAAATATGTTTTATTTAATTCAACCTCCACAACTTCATATCGTGAGTAAGTATTAAATCATAATTTATACTTAGTAATTAATTATTAAATAATTTTCTTTCAAATTTTTATTAAATAGTTATGTGTTTTACTTCCATAGTGAACATATAAAAGAAATCAAGAAGGAAAATCCTCGTCTATCAGGACATAATGTGGATCGAATTCATAATGAAAGATTTCAACTATGGTTTAGAAATCATGTAAGTATCAACTAGCTAAAATATTTGCTCATATATTACTATATATTACTATATAGTAATTATAACTTTTTAGATTCACATCTTTATTTTTGAATGCTAGGTCGAGAAGATGCATATGACTGGCGAAAATATATCTGAGGATATTCAAACTTTAGCTATTGACCCATTAATACAAGCAAAAAGAATGATTGGCTATATATGTGATGGAGTTAGATACTTAACAGAGTCTCGTGATGTTAAGAGAAAACCTCAAAATAGTGGTATCATGTTAAAGGCTATCACTCAAAGTTATGCAAGCACAAAAGATAAAAATCCCACATTGGCAGAGGTTTCTTTTTATGGAATCCACACAGACATAATTGAGTTATATTATTCCAAGAATCTCAAGTTTGTATTGTTTAAATGTAAATGGATGAACAATAACAAGGGGCTTATTGAGAAAGATGATTATGGGTTTACTCTTGTGAATTTTAATCGTCTACTCTATACAAGACATCAATTATCAGATTAACCATTCATCTTTGCTTCTCAAGCTCAACAAGTGTTTTATGTTGATCATCCTATGGAAAAGGAGTGGCGAATGGTTGTTAAACTTAAGCCAAGAGGATTTTACGATTTAGGTGATGACACACCAATAATTGAGCATAAGGAAGGATATATGGAGTTGTGGCCTGAACAACAATTGGATGACACAACATTTGAAACTGAAGAAGACATTGAATGGGTTAGAGAAGGAGTACCAAAATTAAAAATAACTCCAGAAACTTTGGAAAGTAATGAAGCATATGATGAAGATGACAACATATCTTAATTTTTGTTACTATAGTAGTATAATCACTATTTCAGTACAATTGATTGTTGAACAATAATGACTTTGATGTTTTTACTCTTCATTCAGCTGTTAAAAGCTCATATGTTTATATGTCTTATTATTTGACATGATAGTTAGATATTATTTTATACTTTCGTATAGTAGAAACTACTTTAAATTTGGCAGGATTCATAGCTGCTGAGGAACTTCGTTGAAATGGCAAGAAAAAGACAGAGAAATTCTAGTCAAGGTGAGCTTTTATATGATTCTTCGGAGCAACAAAAACAAAAAATCGGAAGTATGTCAATGCCTCAACCGCCCCAAAATTGGCCACAAAATGAAAGAGATGAATCACATGATACAAAAACTCTTCCAGGTATTTAAATCTCATGATATTTATTCTTCCTTTCATAGTATAAAGTAGTTAGATAATTTTTATATAAATAATAAATTTGCCTCTTTTTTAGCTTTGATTATTTATAGATTCTAATGAGAGTGAAGAGAAATCTAAGCGAACTAGGGGTCCCCACTATGATGCACTCGGGATGGGGGAAAGATGGTGGAAATTTACATATTGAATTTAATGAACATGGTCAAGTTATTGGGTCAGAAGGAACTAGATTGAGTTCAAAACTTGGGGTGCTAGCACGAAATGGCATCTTAGCGCCACTGCATCATAAAGATTGGAGGCTTGTACCTAGTATGTACAAGGATAGAATATGGGCTCATATCAAGGTTCTTAGTATACACAAAACCTATGTACTAAGATGTTTTTGTATTTATATTTTATTTTATAAATGAGTTGTGTATTAAATATATGTACAGGAAAATACTGACACAACTGATGACATGAAGCGCATACTGATGATGTCATTTGGATCTAAATGGAAAGAATCAAAGCATGAAGCAAAACCTATTGGACATGACCCATATAACACTGATATTGAGCGTTTAGCTCATTGTCCAAATAGAGTTGAAGAAGACCAGTGGCGTTCATTAGTTCATTATTGGAGATCAAAAGAAGCAAAGGTATGTGCTAGATTTCTATTTCTGCATTTGCTCTACTAAATGAGAATTTCATAGAAGTTGTCATAAATTATTAAAGTCGTGTTTTCCCTGATTCTACTTCTTATTGTAGAACAACTAGAAGTTCTTTCTGATTTGTCCCTTTCTTCTAATTGGCAGAAATAATGTTGTTGTATATGTCCAGTTTGCCAACCTGTACGAAATGTTCTTGTATAGAAATTGATTGCACTTTGTGAAACTCAACTATGTTGCTTTTTTATATTTTTTCTTGGATATTTCTTTTATATATTCAAGATTGTGCATGTCCTCTTATATATTGTTTTGTTCAAATTTCTAGGAAAAGAGTGAGAGAAACAAAGAAAGTCGAAAAAAATTGACTATGCCACACACATCAGGGAGAGAAAGACATTCTCAAATTATAGACGATGTACGAAGTAATCACTATTTATTTTCTATAATTTATATATTAAATAATACTTATCGTGAATATTTAATGTCAATCTCTTACTATTCAAACAGATGACAAAGATGAATAATGGTGTAAAGCCAACTAGTATTGAGGTGTTCAAAAAAACTCACATTAGAGAGAATAAACAACCAGTAAATGAGATAGCTGGTGAAGTTATGGTAAACTGTTACTCTTTAAAAGTATATAGGTACTTTCTTTCTATTACAATTTGTTTTATAAACTTCTCATTACTTTACTTTCTTTCAAAAAGAAACAAATGGATGATCTTGCCGAGGTGTATCCTGAGTTGAATGTCCCTGGAAGTGCTCCTAATGATGTTTATTCCCAAGTAATGGGATCAGACACTCATGGAATTGTCCGAACTCTAGGAAAAAGAGCATATCCTAGCTTAGTATATGGCCCCGTATATAAACGATCTCAGGCTGAAAAAAGAGATTTTGATACAAGGGTTGAGATGGAACTTCAAAAAGCTACCTCAGCTATGAAAATTGAGATGACAGAGAAGATGTATGATGCAAAAAAAGAGATGGAAGCAATGGATAAAAAGTTTTTAGAAGCGAAAGAGGAAGTAAAAGAGAATAACGAAGTGATGGAGAGAAAATTATCGGAAGCAAAAATGGATATGGAAGAAATTATAGCGGATAAAGTGAAGGAAGGAATACAAGCATATGTAGAGTCTTTGGGAATTAATATTGATGCAAATATAAAATCAGAGCCAGTGAAATAATTATGTTGCTCACAAAAAAATACTTTTTTTAGATGAAAATTTAGTTTCTCTTAATTATAATAGTCTTCCTCTTTTGCAATAGGTTCCTGATAACCCACTTGAAGATTGTCAACAACCATCATCACTTGTTCCAGGTGTTCACACAAGAAAGGTTAGAGAAAATTTCATCAAAATTTTGAATTTTATTTTAATTGCGTAAATCCTAACATTTATATGATCACGAGATCAACTAATTCCTCTTTCTTGTTTAACATGGATTAATCGACAAACTGTTAATTGCGCGTCATGTACACATAAAAAGTCTAAGTGATCATCTTTTTCTTTTGGTTCTTGTTGTTGTTGTTGTTGTTGTTGTTGTTTTTCAGTTGGTATAGTGAAATTATAAACTATGTTAACTTATCATATTATTTCTATTTTTCACCACAAAATCTAAAACGCCTAATCATACACACTCCAAACAGAAACCTCGAAACTCGAACCAAACATCACACTAAACCAAAAAGACCCATCTGTAGCTGATGGAACTGACGGAATTTTGATCCGACATCAGAATTTTCAGATGTTGACAGAAGTCAACTCTTTCATGCATTAAGCCTCCAAAATGAAAAACTTGCACCAAAGACTATGTGTCGTGATCATACTCTAATGTATCATTTCATAATCTGTATTTATGATTTTGCTATGTTCATTTTGACCAACTTGAACCCGTAGCTCTTGCCCCTTATTCTCTTATGTCCCTGCTGCTTGTTGTTTTCTTCTTTTGATGGCATCTCTCTTATTTTCGCTTAGTTTACCCTGAGATTTGTTGTTGATAGTTTGCCCTTGCTTTGTGCCCCCACTGTCTTGTTTGTTTTGTTCCTATTCTCTCTAATGAACATTTTTTTTTCTAATTCATTTTCTGAGTGTTATGAGAAGTATTAAGATTACCCTGTTGATCATTCTCTTTACTGTGTCCCTGACCAGAAACCTTTCCCTGATGGATGAGCTAATTGTGCTAGTTCTCTTGTGTGGTTTGATGAGAAGTGGTAGCATAATCTCTAGGGTCTTTCTTAGGGTCAATGTGTAAATTCTCATGATGCAGAAACCCCCCTTTGGATACCCCTTCCTGCAAGTTAGTAATGTTCTCCTCTAACCCTCCATCCAACACTCCAACAGCTTCCACATCAGTTAAACAATTATCTAAAGGGGTGAGGGGTAATGGGAGCATTGGGTCAATACATGTGATCTTAGAGGCCTTTGTATTTCCTTCGTTGTCCATACCTGCAAGTACATTAGGCATAGATGGAGGATTTTGGAATATAAGGGTTGGTAACATAGAATCTTCCCCTAGTTTGGCCTGTGTTTTCCCAGACGGTGCCTTGTCTTCATATGATTTTTGCTTGTACCTGGACTGTTTGGTAGATCTGGTTAAACAAGATCAATATAAGAGTTATGAGTAATAATATTTTTACCTGTATGACTGTGACTTTTCTGGGAATTAGCCTGATCCATATGTTCTTGAGGTGTCTTAGGTCTCTCCTCATTGTTTGTATTGTTTTTGTTATTCTTTTTTTTTTGAGTTTGCCACTGTTCTTCCTACTGATTTGGCTCTTCTTCTTGGTAATGATGCTGCCTTGAGTCTATCTATGATGTTGTATTATTTTTCCTGTCACTCGACTGCATATTCTACTATTCAGTTCTTACTTGATCACCCTTATTTTTGTTCCTTTTTTCTGCCTTGAGTCCATGTTTGAATCCTCATTATGCCTCGGTTTAGCTGCAAAAGATTGTATCACAGTATAAGGTGCAAGCTCTGGGATTACCTTATTTTTTGCATTATTTTGCTGATTATGGGTTTGCACCTCCTGCACATTGCTACGATGCTTCACATCTGTCCTCTTTCTCTAAAATAGTGAGCTTGTTTCAATTAATTTGTAGATTCTCTTATTGCCTTGTCCAAGAAATTAGTCGAAGCAAATAGCATGATTCCTCCGTATTTGTTTATTACCAGATAATTCTGGATGTAGTTTTGTTCAGATGTTTCCAGGTTTGTTTTTTAGTTTCTGAATATTGATTTATTAATAATGTGCAGCAACGAAAATATGACACTGAACTCTCTAAATGTTGTTATTGAATATGTCGTTGTCAAGTTATAACTAGAACGGATTATAGATATGTTTGTGTAGTTTGGATCTGCTTACATTAGATTTGGGACCTTGTTCTAGAGGTCTTATATTGTTTGATGTGTGCTAATATAATTTTAAGATTAGTTCAAGTATATTTGAAGCTCATGCACTACCAATGAAGATGTCGATAATAATGTACTGGAATATGTATTTAGTTCTATGAACTTGTTGCATGCGACTGAAAGAGGTGGTTAGTTCTAGAGATTGGGTCATTTCCTTCTGGAAAAGGAAATAATTTAACTGAATATGTAAATCTAGTAAGGTCTTATATTGTTTATTGTGTGCTATATAATCTGTATGCTGGAGATTTTAACTTATTGTAAGATGAGTTCTTACAATAAACAACAACATACGTAGTGTGATCCCACTAGTGGGGACTGGGAATGGGTTCTTACAATAATAAACATTTTTTTCATTACGTAGTTTCTGTTATCTGCTTTTTTTGGGAACTACGAGCCTTTTTTGGGATATGAGTCTTTTAACTATCAGAAATACTTAAGAAGAGATAAAATGAAATTTACTTAGATAAGATCATTACAAAAAAGGATCGTGAGAAACTTTCTACTTGCTGACCATTATATTGTGTTCTGTCCTGTGGCTAAAAGTTGCTTGTTTTCCGATATTAACAAGCTAGATTCATTGGGGTGGTCAAGTAAACTTGAAATTTAGTGCTTCTCCCGCCATCTTTTTCTTCCCCCATATTTAATTGAAAGCAAAGAGGGTAGGATGATGTCTGTGTATGTTCCTTCATAAGCATACATGTTTCTCGTGACGATAAAACTAATCTTTTTTATGCAACAAACTTTAAGTAGAAACACCCTGTTCTAGTCAAGCAAGATTTACTACTTTCTACTACTCCCTTTGCTCCATTAAACTCAATAATGGCAAGTTTATTCTCTAGTATCCCCTTACTCACAACTGGTGTCATCAAAGAACAAAGCCACAAAGATCAACAAAAATCCTCTGACATAATACTCTCTGAGCTACCAAAAGAAAGAGGTTGGCTGAGTGAACATGTTCACCAATACAAAGGCTTTTGGTATACCACGTGAGTTCTTCAAGGTCTACTAGCACTTCAGCAACAACATTTTAAGCCAAAACCAAACATGTATGCTTATGATGTCTGTGTATGTGCCTTCATAAGCATACATGTTTCTCGTGGTGATAAAACTAATCTTTTTTATGCAGCAAACTTTAAGTAGAAACACCCTCTTTTTCTCATGTTTACAATAGGTGCACAAAGGAAGATATCAAGCTTTTTAACCTTGTCCCAAAACTTAGGAACTTTCTTTCCAACTTCATTACCAACAGTAAACTTCTCACCCTTTTTGACATTGCCAACAACAGCCTCTTCAGGAAATTTAAAGCAATCCTTCAACCCTATCTTGGACCTGCTCCTTTTTTCTTCTGCATGCTGCTCATAATACTCATTGTTCCTCCTCTCCAATCCATATAGCTGACCTTGAAGATCCTCAACTTTTCGACTAAGCACACAAACTCTGTAATCATCCCTTTTGTTTAGCATGAACCTTGCAAGCTCATCTACCTTCCTCTTCATGAACAAAGACTCTGAAGACAACCCCTTATTCTCCTCCATCAATGAAGCCACTTTGTATTCTAATCTCGCGTTCTCATTTAACAAGATCAACCTCTCCGATTCCAACAACTCCAATAAGCTTTCATGCAACTCTATCTTACTTGACTAAGCTCGTGCAGGATGATTTCACAGTCGACACTTCTGATCACCAAGTCTGCAATGATCATGTCTGGTTCAAATTTAGCTTGTGTGGATGGAAATTGAGGCTGATATGATAATGAACTCTCAGCATCAGAATCAACAATATCCGATCCATTATTCTCTTCCTTTTCAAATTGATCATCATTATCATGATCAAAATGGGAAGATGGAGTTGGGAAGCAATTTCGACGATGATGGTTCTTGGAAAGTGCTGCAATAGCGGTCTGCCAAAGAGAGATAGTTGTCATACAATTCTTCAAGTAAGGCCAGAAGCTATGGCCATTTCTGGTAGTAATCATTAGCACGTTCTGTAAAGCTATCAACATCATCTTTATTAGGAACGTTCACAACCAACTTTTTCATTTTCTTGTCCAAATCTAAAGAAAAGACCACAATCCAATCCAAATACAGTCAAATAGATATATGATATTGACTTGACAAGTGAAGCATTTGAAAATTTGAATTCTACACATTTTTGTCTTTGCTTTCTTTGAATGTGTAATTTGATTGCCCCTGATGTTATATATAGTATTCAGCCTCAAGTGAGATTGGTGAGCTTAGTCTTATGCTTTAATTTTTTTGTTCTTTGATAATTATACCTTCCAAAATAGCTTGATAAAGTTCTCGAACTTATGCTTTACTTTTGGTCTGCAAAATTTGCTCTCAGTTTTTTTGGATTTTTGGGATGAAAATTCAAGTTGACCTTTTTATTTTTACCAAGGTATGGGGACATATTTAAGTATGAACGGATCACTTCAAGTGATTTTTTTTTTGAACGACCCTTGGGAGGGGGGGGGGGTCAGGGGTTTAGCAACACCCCCAGGCCTTAGCATAAATAAAATAGCAAAAAGGTACAACGAGGGGGACATAAAACTTTACGTCCGATCCTATGGTGGTTCATAAGTCGACCTTCCTACTACGGATAGTCAACTCCTCATTTTTTTCTAAAAAGAAGCCTACAAGCTATGCACCTAAAAGAGAGGACTCCTCTTGATACAAAATTACTAGTAAGCATAAAATAAGGGAGACTCTCCCCTTACAAAGAAGAGAGAAAAGAAGGCCTATTCAAGTAGGCTGTATCAAATAAAGATATAGCCTAGTTGAATAGGATGAGATCACCAAAAATTGTATAGAGACATCTATACAGATCACCAAGTGCCACTTCAGGG